CTGGAGGTGTAAGACGATGTGGCTTAGAATGTCACAACTTGGAAAGGGCCAGAAATCAGATACTAGCACTTCTTCCTTGTTCCTTCCTTCTTCTGGTCTGGAATGGAGATGAGAGGCTACAGGTATAAGCAGCCACCTTGCAACTATGAGGATAAGGGCCATTTGCTGAGGCGATGGATGGTGGAGGAGAGAAGGAATCTAGAATGCTGATGATGTGGTGAAGTAGCTGTGCCTGCCCAGTCCTCTTCCACCTGTGCACTGCAGCTGGTTCTGTTACCTGTAGCCAAACACTGTCTCTATGTGGCGCAGTATTTAATAGGAAACAGATATAAATCACAGTCAAGGAGAAAAAGAAAGCTTGGAGTGAGAAACAGAAAGAGGACAGATCCAAAGCAGGGGAAGGCAAAGCCTTCCAGAGGAAAACAAAGTTCAAAGTCTTGACCACTGAGGCAAGGAGGGAGTGTGGGATGCGTGGTGCAGGCTGTGAGGTGTTTCATATGCTATAGACCATTTGAAATGGGGCCAGCAGTGTGGAATGGAGGCCAGCTGAGGCCTCCGAGGATTCATGTGTCACTTAAGCTCACAAAAGACTGTTCTGATTCCTGGATGCCACACTTTTGGTCATCTTTTCTACTTATTTTACACTTATGAAATTCTACTCATTCTTTTATTATTATTATTATACAGATGGGGTTTCACAATGTTAGCCAGGTTGGTCTCGACCTCCTGACCTCGTGATCCGCCCATCTCAGCTTCCCAAAGTGCTGGGATTACAGGAATGAGCCACCACGCCCAGCCCATAATTCTACTCATTCTTTAATGAAGCATATTCCAAGTGTATGAGACTTCCTGTTCTTTTGTGGAAACTAAGATACGTAAGCTAGCATTAGGTATTGACCTGGAGTTATATAACAGCAAATCTCATGATGAGATAGCTAGGCACTTTTCAATTCTCTCTTTAAAAAAATTTTTGGCTGGGTGCAGTGGCTCATGCCTATAATCCTAGCACTCTGGATTTTAGGAGTTCAAGACTAGCCAGGGAAATACAGCAAGAGCTAATCTCTATAAAAAATTTAAAAATAGCCAGGCATGGTGGCACATGCCTATAGTCCTAGCTACTCGGGAGGCTGAGGTAGGAGGATCACTTGAGCCCAGAAGTTCAAGGATACACAGAGCTAAAATCATGCCACTGGACTCCAGCCTGGGCAACTTACCAATTTTCTTTCTTCTTTTTTCTTCTTTTGTCTTCCTCCTCCTCCTCCTCTTCCTCCTCCTTCTTCTTCTCCCTCTCCTCTTCCTCCTCCTTCTTTCTTCTTCTTCTTTAGAAATGGGGTCTCCCTAGGTTGCCCAGGCTGGTCTCAAACTCCTGGGCTCAAGTGATCCTCCATGTTGGCCTCCCAAAGTCCTGGGATGACAGGTGTGGGTCACTGCGCCTGGCCCTGAGTCCTCTTCTGTAGAGGCAACCCCTTTCAACTCATTCAGCAGTTTTTCATGATATTTACTGCCTGATCTTAAGCAAAGTGCTTATTATATTATTTCTTGATATTTCCATTTAAAATTTTACATACTGACTTTTAAAACTTTGTCTCACCAAGCCTCTCAATAAAGACATATCACAATTTTTAGTTACATCAACACTGGTGTATTCACTGGTATAATTATATTTTTTGTACATATTTTGTTATGTATCTATCTTTTGCCTAAGTTAGTAATTGTCTGGTTTTTCATTTGTAGAGTTTTCTGTGTACCTATTCTAAATATTTCCCCAAAGCTTTCTATCATTTCTCATATACTTATCAGTATTTCTTTCAAAATCCTTAAGTACTTCACATGCTCTATTAGTTCAGTTTTTAACCAAGTCTTTCTCCTTTCCAAAGTCTTCTACTTTTCTGCTCCAGTTTGGACTTACTTCAGCCATCATCTGGGACTCCCATTTTTACAGTCCTGTATTGGGCCTTCTGATTTCTGAACTCGGCGTTCTTTGTCTTTATGGTTTATTTTATTTTTATTTATTTATTTTTTTAAGACAGAGTCGCCCAGTCTGGAGTGCAGTGGTGTGATCTTGGCTCACTGCAACCTCTGCCTCCTGGGTTCAAGTAATTCTTGTGCCTCAGCCTCCTGAGTAGCTGGGCTTACAGCTGTGTACCTGGCTAATTTTGTATTTTTAGTAGAGAGGGGATTTCACCAAGTTGGCCACGCTGGTCTCAAACTCTTGACCTCAGGTGATCCACCCGCCTCAGCCTCTCAAAGTGCTGGGATTACAAGCATGAGCCACTGTGCTCGGCCTGTCTGTGATTTATTTTCTCATTTTACTCAAGCATGTTCTTTGGAAGTTTCATAAGAATGGACTCAGAGGAGGTACATGTTTGGATCACTTGTATGTTGAAAACATCTTTATTTTAGCCTCATACATGGTTAGAAGTATAGATTTCTCATGGAATTGTCATAGTAGCACTTCATTGCCCCAAGCTTCTAGTTAGGAAATCTGATGTCATTCTAATTCACAGTCCTTTGGATGCAATTTTTTTTTTTTAGTAAGTTGTTAGGATCCCATTTTTATTCCTAGTGTTCTGAATGCCATAATGATATACCTTTCATAATTCTCTGTGCTGGACACCCAGTGAGCTCTTTCAATGTGCAGATTTATGTTTCTTGGTTCTGAGAAAGTTCTTGATTAATTCCTTTGATAATTCCCCATCTTAACTTTTCTCTGTTTTCTCTTTCTGAAAACTCTGAGTTTGATAATGATGTTCGTGGGTTGATCCTCTGTCTCTTCTATTTTCTCACTATTTTTCATCTCCTTATCGTTTGTTTTACTTCCAAAGACTTTCTTTCTTTCTTTTTTGGGCTGAGTACAGGGGACTTTGTGGATGGTACACAACAAAGCAGGGGACACAGACCCCTTCCCTCTCCAGGGGTCTGTGTGGAAACTGAGGAGGGGGGATTCTCAGTGCGATGCGGGACAGAGTGCAGCAGGGTCTCCCCAGCAGCTGAGGGCCTCTCCTGTCTGCTCTGCTCTGACTGGTGATGCAGGAATCTTACTCCTTGGAGACCACGTGGAACCTGACCTTGTTCACACTGGAACATGCTCATAGTGGAACAGGTAGGCCATGTAGTTGTGGTCAATGAAGGGGTCATTGATGGTGACAATATCCACTTTGCCAGAGTTAAAAGGAGCCCTGGTAATCAGGGCCCCACTATGGCCCCATCTGTTTATTTTGGTCTTCGCCTTCACCCTGGTGTCTGAGGGACGCAGCCGGTGCTGCATGAGAAGATGCAGCTGTCTGTTGAACCAGAGGGGCAGAGGGCTGACTTTCTTGAATTTAACTATCAACCTTTTTTTTTTTCAGAAAATTTTATTTTGGCTATCATTTTCACTTTCCAAGAACTTTTTCTTATTTTCTATTTTTTTTTCATAGTACCCTGTTCCTTTTTTACAGATGCTTTATCTTCTCTTCCATTGAGAATGTTATCGCTTTTTTGTTTTTCTTCAGTTTTCTGCATTGTTTCTGTATCTTCAGGGTTCCTTTATTCCTTCTGTTTCAGGGTTGGTGTCTCATGCTGGAGACTTGCCTCAAGTGTCTAGAGGTTCTCAGGTATCTGTTCACAATGAAGCATAAGACATACAAAGGCTGATGGGTGCACTCGTGCATGCTCAGGGCTTGCTGACCTATGAGGCTTCTTTGAATGGTGAGCAGATGGCCAACTGTCAGCATCTAGAGTTTCTTTTTCTAGGGCTATTCCATTTCTCAAGGAAGACCCCAATCCTCTACATAACTGTCAGCCTTCTGGAAGCAGGGCAGGCAAGGCTGGGGTGGTTGTAAGGACTGAGTTTCAACTGCTCAATGTCTACAATTTTTCTTAATTCTCCTCTTTGCAGCTTCTCCCCTTGCCCCCATTTTCCACCTTGCTGGGTGTTCGGGGTCTGCTGAAAGGCCCTGTCTAGTTTTCCAGAGAAAACTCCCTAACTAGAATCCTCGTTCTGCCCTTGCCTCCCCTATAGTCTATTTTTAGCATAGAGCCGGAGCAATCCTGTTAAAATGTGGGTCACATCAGGTCACACCTAGGCTTATTATTCTCCAAAGCTTTTCCATCTCAACAGAGTTATATCCGAAAGTCATCACGAGGGTCTACAAGGCCTTCTGCCCAGCATACTTGCACCTCAGATTGTTTGTCCTCTGACTCTCCCGTTCAAGCTCACTCCATTCAGCCGTGCTGGCTGCTTTACTGGACACATCCGGAGGCTCCTACCTCAAGGACTTGGCACTTGCTCTTCCTTCTAGCCAGAATGCTCATGTCAGATATTCACACGGCCTGCTCCCCCCTACTCCTTCAGATCCTTACTCAAGTGTCCCTTCTCAGCAATGCCTTCCCTAGCAACCCCCACACCCTGACACTCACTTTACAACCTCCTCCCCATTTGCTTTAGTTTTCCTCTAAGGATGATCCCCATTGGATATACAATCAGATATATGCCCCATGAAGGCAGGAATTCATGACTCCCCTCACCAGAGTTTAGAACAGGGTACATGATAGGCATTTAACAAATATATATTGAAAAAAATAAGTAGGCTGGGCATAGTGGCTCATGCCTATAATCCCAGCACTTTGGGAGGCCGAGGCAGGTGGATCACGAGGTCAAGAGATAGAGACCATCCTGGTCAACAAGGTGAAACCCCATCTCTACTAAAAATACAAAAATTAGCTGGGCATGGTGGTGCACACCTATAGTCCCAGCTACTCGGGAGGCTGAGGGAGGAGAATTGCTTGAACCCAGAAAGCAGAGGTTGCGGTGAGTCAAGATCATGCCATTGCACTCCAGTCTGGGTAACAACAGCGAAACTCCATCTCTAAAAAAATAAATCAATAAATAAATAAAGAATGAATGAATAAGTGAAATGTTCCTTAAGTACTCTGTTTTCTTATTAGTGAAAAAGCAGTAAGACAGGATAACAGCTTGTCATTGTGCTTTTTTTTTTTTTTTTTTTAATGAAATGAGGTTGCTAATGTGTCTGAGGAAGATTTCATTGGGCCTATTCCATCATTAAAGGCAGGTTGTTAAGATCTCCTTGCTAGGCAAATAAGTGACCTCAGACTGTTAATTTGGATTTCATGAACGAATTAGAATTAGATTTAGAAATTAGCTTGTTAACTTGCAAATGTTAAGAAACAATAAATTGAAGAACATTAGTTCTATAATCACTAATATCACTAATTGCTTTTAATGTTTAAAATGATGCCATTAGGGCTAAATGGGAAGACATTTTCCCTATAGAACCCAACCAGTTAACCCTGTTTTGAGGAACCTTCTCGGTGTTCAAACTAACAATCTAATTGAAGTGTTCCATCAGAAACACCCATAATTATTTCAGCTCAAGAGAGGCTGCATTAAGGCTACTCATAATATATATTACTATACTTGAAAATTACTTTTTAATGCCTTCTAAATGAGTATTTGTACTTTCAGGTGGGTATTTCATAATTATCTTCTCATTTGTGCAAATTAAAACATTTACTAAGCAAAGCATGATGTTCTCCAGCTCCAGTACATACTGAGAGATAATAATCCTCCTCCCAGTCATCTGAGACTGATTGTCATTAGCACTCAGTACAGTCATGGTCACAAGACTGCCTGCTGTCTTGTAACATCTTCTCCCTCAGTGTATAACGAAAAAGTTACTGTGGTGCCAGGAAAGACAAAATGAAAGCATTAACCTGCCTTTGGTTTATCAAGCTTAAAGCTATTTTTGAACTAAATTTAACAGAGTAACTCTGCTGAATTTGAATTCAACTTTAATGGAATACAAAGTGTTCCATGTTCTGTTTCTCTAAAATGAAGGGATAATTTAAACATCATGGAACCACTTGATTGGCTGTTTAAAAATGTAGCCGTTTTAGTTTTAAACATGTCAATACAATGGACAGTAATGCCATTATAATTATTCTCTCTAATACTCTAGAGCATTAAAAGAAAAATGCAATCTATGATTTTGCCATGTCTCTAAGACCATTCTGAGGAAATGGTAAAGACCGAGGCTTGAACTACTTAATTCTTTCCACTTGACCTGCCCAGTAACACACCAAGAGTTCTTTTTCCTTTTCTTTCTTATTTTTTTTTGAGACTGAGTCTTGCTCTGTTGCCCAGGCTGGAGTGTAGTAGTGGGACCTCAGCTCACTGCAATGTCCGCCTCCCAGGTTCAAGCAATTTTCCTGCCTCAGCCTCTTGAATAGCTGGGATTACAGGCATGCACCACCACGCCTGACTAAGTTTTTTTGTATTTTTTAAGTAGAGATGGGGTTTCACCATATTGGCCAGGCTGGTCTCAAACTCCTAAACTTGTGATCCGCCTGCCTCGGCCTCCCAAAGTGCTGGGATTACAGGCGTGAGCTACTATGCCCAGCCTGAGTTCTTTCTACTTTTCTTAAGGTTGAATTTGCATTTTCAAATCTGTTTATAAAATCTTCCATGGAGCTTCATTTAAAATGACATTTCTTTGCCTCCTCTGCATCAGCAGGATGAGCAGCCGTCGTTAATTCTGGTCATGCATGCTGGCGACGGAGAGGGCAGGAGTGGCCACAGGAACCAGCTCCTTCCACACGTGATGCTCTCCTTTTCAAAGATTGCAGGATCATAAAAGACTTACTGCTCTCCCTATGCCAATCACAATTAATCATCCTTCGATGATCCAGAAGGCACATCAGAATCTTACGGGGGCTGTGACTTGAGTTTTGCAATTGACATCTGGAGACCTCTCTGCAGGTTGGGCTGAGGGGAGAATGGAGAGTGGGAGAAGCATTTCTTGGAGAACAGGCAAGGATGAAAGGAGCAAGAGAGAAAAAATGCAATAGAGAAAATTTCACTCTAAAAACATGCATCACTTAGATCAAAGGCTACATATGACATCCTAGAAATTCTTGAGCTCCATGCAAATCATCGGGAAAATTGACAGAATGATGGCTGGCCTGTCACAGTGTTCCTAGTCATTACATAGTTTGGGCCAGTTACTTAAATGAAAAAAGCGGGGCAAGTTGTGGGTAGTACAGCATTTAGAAGTGAGTAGCTGTGGGCAGGTGGAGGGGAAACACACAGCCTGAAAACACTCTACCTGTCTTTCTGGATCTCAGTGCTTCAGGTATGTCAGCAGCAGCCATTTCTCCTAGGACGTTGTTTCCAAGGTCACTTTCCCTCAAGTGGGCAGAGTATTTGATCAGGCTGTTGAAAGAAAATCTCACATACACACACACACACAAACACACACACACACACACACACACACACACACAAACACATGCATCATGTCAAGCACTGTTATTTAAAGAACCTCAATCCAGTTACTTTGGAGAATGAGCTCTTTTTAAACTCCTCCTCCAACCCCAAACCCACCCAGTGTGAGACCAAAGACATGCTGAAACCAATTTTTACCAATCGAATTTCTCCAGTTTGGATACTTCTTCTAGGAAAGTTGATAGAATAAGGATTTTTGGTTGCTTTAAATCCTTCATTTGTTTATTTACTCAAAAGATACAGTATGATGTGATACACGACTTCCTAGTTTAGATTTCACATATACCAGCAAATGTACAGAAGTTTAGAGGGACAGACAAAAGTTTGGTAACTTTCAGTATGTCCAGAAATGACAACTATCAACACTGTAAACAAACATTTTTACATCAAATCAGGAAGGGCATAGTCTGAAAATAGAAGATAGCTCTTTAAATCAGATAACTTCAGTTTTATGAAAAGTAAACTGTACTGTTGTTATGTTGTAATTTCTTTGAGGACTATTGAAGTTTTTTTTTTTGAGACAGGATTTCGCTGTGTCATGCAGGCTGGAGTGCAGTGGCATAATCCTGGCTCACTGCAACCTCCATCTCCTGGGTTCAAGCAATTCTTGTGCCTCAGCCTCTCAAGTAGCTGGAATTACAGGCATGTGCCACACGGGAAATTTCTTCAAGTGCAGGCCTTGCACTGGACTGCCGACTGGTCTTTGGGACTCGCTGGCATCATGAGTGGATAAGAAATCTGGGCAAAGGCCTGGACTCCTGGTCAGCTTCAATCCCTTGCCAGATCATGTGTCAAATCATGTGATCATAGCAGGCTACGTGCCTTCACCTCCCTCATCTGCAAAACTGGCCTGAAAAAGGCTGTTCTGCCTTTCATAAGGTTGTAGTGAAAACAGAATGAAGCAGTTTCTGTGAAAGCATTTTGCAAATGCAATACCGATGATGGTGTATTTAGTGCATACTTATTACAAGCATGTTATGTACCTGGCACTGCAGCGATTAAGAGAAATTTAACACATGGCCTCTGCTCTGAAAAAAGTTATTTGACTATCAAAAAACAATTTCAAGCCCTTACCAGGGGCTGCGGGTATGAAATTTCATTTAGGGTCCACACTGAATAAGAGGCTACTTTCTCGCTCATTGTATATATTTTCCACCAATTCAGCAGCTGGAATGCAAGGCCGGAGCAGAATGGTCCTGCCAGACTCTCTCTATCAAAGGTCTTGCTCTTGAGGAAACAGTCTGCCTGGTCAGGATTTGACAAGCCTTGGCTTCCTGAACTGCCTGGTTGTATGCAGTGTCTTCAGACAAAATGAGTGGACAACAGGGAAGCTTCAAGGCAGAACAGAGGGTCCGCAGAAGGAGGGCGGGAAGTGAGGAGGACAAACTTCGTAACTCAACAATTCTACGTCTAGGTCGACTCCAGAGGCCGTGGAGTTCACCACTACACCGTGCTGCCTCACATGAGCTAAGGTCTGATGCAGCATTCATTACATGCCAGCTGTGGCCAGGGCCACCCACATGGTTAAGTGCTTGTGCCCTGCACAAAGGGGCCTTCCAAGAGGAAGAGTGGGGCTGAAATCTAGCGGAGTTCTTCTGCTTGGCAAATGCTGGGCCCCAAAGCATGGATCTGGAAGGGGAACTTCCTCTGATTCATCGGCCGGAGGTGGTGCCTTCTTAATTCATCTGTGCAGAGGAACTCTTTTTCTAATTTGTAGGAAGGTGCTAGCTGGAGCCCCCTACATACACAATCTCATTTAACCCTGCAACAGTCTCTTGTGTTAGACACTATTATTATCCCCCTTTTTACAAATGAGGAAATTTAGGTAAAGATAAGTGATTTAACCTGGGCATGGTGGTGGGCACCTATAATCCCAGGTACTCAGGAGCCTGAGAGAGGAGAATCACTTGAACCCGGAAGGCAGAGATGCAGTGAGCCAAGGTATGCCTCTGCACTCCAGCCTGGGCAACAGAACAAGTTTCTGCCATTAAAAAAAAAGAAAAGAAATTAGCTGTGTGTGGTGGCACATGCCTGTAATCCCAGCTACTCGGGAGGCTGATGCAGTGGAATTGCTTGAACTTGGGTACCAAGTACCAAGTACTTGCCACGTCAGGTACCAAGACAAGGTTGGGTCACTGCTTGACTCTCAGAGCTGAAAAACCTCACTGGAAACTGCTTAAAAGCTACAGTTAAATAATTATTCCCACGATTTAATTCAAGCACTTAGTTTTGGAAGGTGAACAAATAAAGCCTCTTAACTTGCTACTTACCATGTTAAAGTTTGAATGAATTCCAACAAACCATTTCTCCTTCGTTTCCTCTTCCATCTATGCCATTATCTGCAAATGCAACTTCACTAACCAAGGACCAGCTTCCATCAGACCTTCAATTTTCTTCTTGATTCCTATAAGAAAATCAGAGCATTTTATTATTTTTAGGAAATGGTTCCCCTGTTTATCACCAGCCAGGCTGACTTTATTCTTTTAGATTGTACTTTACTGGACTAGTGTGCGTAGATGCATTGTGCAATAGAGTCAGGGAAATACTGTAAATCATTTTAAGTCCTTGTTTTATCCTCAGTGCATCCTTCCTTCTTTAGAACAAGAAGCCCAAAATTACGCTGCATGACAGGAAATTCCATCTAAGATTTAGATTGTTGCCTTTACTTTGAAGAGGAAAACTGATGTCTCTAGAAATTTCCTGAAGGAAGATGAATGAGTTGCCCACTGATCTAGGGGAAGTGATAGTTTTTATGAAGGAATTCAGCCCTTCAAAGGAGCCTGAAAAGCTCTTACTTTTTTGAGCTCTAAAAGAGAAAATCTGAAGGAGAAAGGACCATCCTGCCTCTGTAGAATTCATGACTGGGGTCAGATCCTGGGGTTGGTTCACGTTTGTCAGTCTACACAGCTGTTGTAAAGAGTCTATTGTCAATCCTGGGGAACAACATCAGGTCCACATTTAATTTATGTCAGTTCGAGTTTAGGAGGTTGGCAAAGAAAAATACAGGGGGGATGGATAGAAGAGAAATAATTGTGGGCACAATGCAGACTCATCCACTCAGTAAGTATAAGATGGGAAGCTGGAATCTGCAGTCCCAAATGCAAATCTTTTCTGGGGCCCACAAGTGTTTAAAGTTATATGCACCCCCTAAACACTAACCAACTACTTCATCTGGACCCAGCTGAAGAAAGACCAAGCGATGTGTTCCAAAACTGGGGAAGAAATTGTGTGGGGACATAGAGACAATATGCCTAGATATTATAATACATGGGTAATTTGTGGAATTTTAAAGAATCATTTAACTCTAAACTCGTTTTGTCCACCATGCTGACTTGAGAGCCTAACCCTGGGGCTAGACAAGACTTGAATTCCTTCAGCATTTACCAAATATTTTCAAGCTCCTGTTATGTGTCAGGCAGTGGTGTAGGTGCCAGAGATCCAGCAGAGAACAAAAGAGACAAAAATCCTTGCCCTTATAAAGCTGACATTAAGTGAACGTCAACTAGCACGGTTAGAGCAAGGAAGAGAGCAGCGTCAAGGAGAATCAAGCATTAAATTTTCAAGCCTGGAGGGAAAACTTACTTTTCAGGAAAAGGAGATAAATGCGGACATCAGGCCTTCCTAGGTTGCCAGGTGGGGAAAAAGAGTAGAAAGTATGCTTTAAAAAAAAAAAAGGATTTGGTTGGTTTCTTTAGACATGAATCTAATCTGCTGGATTGCTGGATGAAATACACAGGATTGGCCGGGTGTGGTGGCTCACGCCTGTAATCCCAGCACTTTGGGAGGCCGAGGCGGGCAGATGACTTGAGGTCAGGAGTTCGAGAACAGCCTGGCCAACATGGTATAACCCACCTCTAATAAAAATACAAAAATTAGCTGGGTGTTATGGCTACTTGGGAGCCTGCAGTCCCAGCTACTTGGGAGACTGAGGCAGGACAATACCTTGAACCCAGAGGCAAATGTTGCAATGAGCTGAGATCACGCCAGTGCACAGTCTAGGTGTGCAAGACTCTGTCTCAAAAAAAAAAAAGGGAAAGAAATAGGCAGGATTTATTTTCCTTCAGAACACAGTTGGAGGGATGAACACTGGCCCATCCTTTGGTTTTATTAGGGAGAAGCCTAACTTGTCTAAATCTTATTTGTCCTTATATCCTAGGCATGGGAGGAGAGCAAAAACAGCTGTCATGAATAACAGTGGTACATTATTCACACTAGAATGGTATCTAGCACACGGTAGGTATTTCATAAATATTTGTTGAATGAATCAATGACTAATAGAGTATAAAGTGCAATCATGTTATGGAAACTTTATCTCACTGTTCAGTGCTTTTCCAAGTACAGTGTTGCTAATAATGCCTTGAGACCACTTGTGAACAGAATGAAATATGCTTTTTCATTTGTAAAATTTCTTTACAAACAAAAATGCCTTTGAAAACGTAAGTTGACTGCCTAGAAGGATGAACGATGTGGATACTGATCACATGTGGCATCCATTTCTTTTTGTCCCCTTCTGGCATGACAGAAAGCAGCAGTGGCCAGTGGAGCCAAGGCCAAAGGCCAAAAGCTGAATTCCTTTACAGCTGCTCAGCTTTGCAAGGAAAGACATGGTGTTAGCCATCTACATCCCCAACTTAGCCAGTGTGGCACAAACGTGTGCCCTTGTAGAGGAACGAGTTCCAGGCCTGTGATTGGCCTGGTACAATTGCACTCCTACGAAAAAAAAACAATCAAAATCTCCCTCCAGTTGTTAAGACAGGTCACAATGTCATCTCTGCTCATGAAAACTAACCAGTTTGGAAAATGCTACTGTAAACCACTCTCTAGAAGCTAGACGTCTAATGAGTTACAGAGGCCCTGTTAGACAGCAGGAAGGCTGGCATTGCTCATGACAGAAACTTCCTGCTCCAGGGCTTTCGCCAAGTTCCAGCAAAACTGAATTCTTTTCTCTAGGTTGAAAACAAATTCCTTGGAGTAAGGGTGGGTATGTACTCAGGCCCTGGTAATACTTGATACACCCAAGCTGTATTCACCTGCAACCCATTTTTACCTAATCTTACATTTCTTTACTTTGAAACAAAAACAAGTTCACCAACATGACCATTTGAATTTACCCCCTCTGTCTGGGAGAACTCAGCAGTGGCACAGCTATGCCTGGTTGTGCCCAAGAGGCAGTGTGGTGTAGTGAGACATGGAATCTCCAGGTTTAAAACCTCTCTCTGGAAAACGCTATGAGACTCCTTGGAAAGTCATTTGACTTCTCTGAACCCTAATTTTCTCTGGCAAAATAGAGATTATAATACCCATCTCTTAGGAGTACTGTGAGGATGGCTGGGAAACGTTGTGAAATAGCGGTGTTTGAGACATGTAGTACACAGTTTCACTGCCTCGCTTACCAGCATCATCTCTGGATTTCATAAGTCACCGAAACACTGGACTGGGAGCCACCTGGTGAAGAATGTTCATGTGCAAGGTGTCCTCCCTTCTATCACTGTCTCCCTGGGTCAGGAGGACAATGGCATGCCTTCCCTGGAAGCCACTCCACAGATCCAGGAGACCCACCCAGCCTTCTGCTTCCTCTCATTTTCTCTTTGGCCAATTGCCAAGCTTCCCCAGTTGTCCTGGACTTTGGAATCTTTCTCACCACCCTCTCTGAACTGGCTACTAGGTCCTATCAATTCTCTCCCTTCTAAACGTATCGAGACTCCATCTTTCTATCACTGTAGCCTCACTTTATCTTCTCTTGCCTGAACCAGTGTAAAAGCTTCCTGCTTTTCCTACTGCTCCCCTCTCATCCTTGACTCCCAGCACCACTCCTTCAGTGGACCTTGTCAGACACGATGAGAAGCGCTCTGACGTTGATGAGATCTGGGAGATCGTGGATAGACTGTGCCTGATGGTGGAGGGGAGGATAAACAACAGGACAGAGAGGAACGGCTCATTGGTGGAAATGCCTTCTCTGAAGGTCCGCAGGGCAAAGGTACCCAAAGCATGGGGATCACTGGTGTTGATATTGTCATGAACCATCACTTGCAGGAAAACAGCTTCTCAGAGGAAGCCTATAAGTACATCAGCGGGTCCACACAGTGGTTCATGCCTGTCATCCCAGCACTTTGGGAGCTGAGGTGAGAGGATTGCTTAAGCCTATGAATTTGAGACCAGCATGAGCAACATAAAGAGCCCCAGTCTGTACAAAAAAAAAAAAAAAAAAGCTGGCCATGGTGATCACACCTCTGGTCCCAGCTACTTGGGAGGCTGAGGTGGGTGGATTCCTTGAGCCCGGGAGGTCAAGGTTACAGTGAGCCACGATCACACCACTGCACTTCAGCCTGGTCCACACAGTGAGATTCTATCTCGAGAAGAAAATAAACAAAAAAAAGAAGTACTTTAAAGACGACATGAAATCAGTGAAAGGTGAATTTGAAGAAGAGAGATCAGAAGGAGTAAAACTTTTTATGACAGGGCTGCAGAGCAAATCAAGCAATTTAAAAATCCCTGCTAATTAAAAAAACTACCAGTTATTTTTTGATGAAAACATGAATCCAGATGGCATGGTTGCTCAACTGAACTACCATGAAGATGTATGTGATTTTCTTTAACAATGGTTTAGAAATGGGAAAATATTAACAGATTTGGCAATTACTTTGAATCTATCACCTGTCATCATAAATGGCTGCTGCTTGTCATCCACAAAACACTATGTCTTAAGATAAATGGGCCCTTCATTTATTTCGACTGTGATTTAGGAGGAGTGGAGGCTTTGTTTTTGTTTCTTTTTTTTTTTGAGATGGAGTTTCACTCTTGTTACCCAGGCTGGAGTGCAAGGGTGTGATCTCAGCTCACTGCAACCTCCACCTCCTGGGTTCAGGCAATTCTCCTGCCTCAGCCTCCTGAGTAGCTGGGATTACAGGCACGAGCCACCACGCCCAGCTAACTTTTTTTTGTATTTTTAGTAGAGACAGGGTTTCACCATGTTGACCAGGATGGTCTCGATCTCTTGATCTCGTGATCCACCTGCCTTGGTCTCTCAAAGTGCTGGGATTACAGGCTTGAGCCACCGCGCCCGGCCTTTTTTTTTTTTTTTTTTAAGAAAAAAATGTGTCATGTAGGTTGTCTAAAAATAAAATGCATTTAAACTAAAACAAAAGCCTTATAACTAGTCTCCCATCCTCTAGCTAGTACTCTCTCTAAAGCATATTCTGAAAAACTGCCCAAGATACTTTTCAAAAACCCAGCTCTCACGATGCTACCATCCTGCTTCAAAACCACTGTGGCTCCCCCTTTGCACACAGGAGAAAATCTAACTCCTAAACTCAGCATTCATGGCCTTCTGTCATGTGGGTCCACTGGCCTTTTTAGTCACGTTTCCAGCCACTTTCCTAGTGACTGCTCTGCGGCAAACATCAC